AAGGAACTTATAGAATTCTTAAAAAAAGGAAGTTAACTGTCGAGAAGCTGCAAGTTTAATGAAACTCTGCGAAACGAATCAGAAACCATACTTCGTCAAAATGAACAACGCACGAAAGTTTATAAGAATTATAACCGAAAGTTCCGACTCTTTTCAGCTTTATCAACAATTGATACAAATGTATATTTGTTGATAAAGACCATACTAATATAAATGTACTGAGGTGAATCTGAAGAGAAACGCAACATTTTGAAAAGTCACAGGAAAATGTTTTCTGTGTTTTGGATGTAAACATTTAGCTATCAACTGTAAGAACAAACATTTTTGCTTCAAAAGTTGCCGGGGTAACATCATGAAAGTGTGTGTGTAAAATCCCACATCAGCTGTCTCCAGTGTAAAAAAATAAGGAAACCGAAACATCGGCGGAAATTGTTCAAAATTCTTCTGCCAAACTGGATCTAATATTATGCTTCAAACGGTGTATGCTGTGGCTGAGGACAGAAATAAGAATTGTATTGTGAGATGTCTTCTTGACGGCGGTAGCCAAATCTCTGCAATTCGAGAAGATTTATCAAGAAAATTACAGTTACCAGTGGAAGGAGAAACTGTTTTAAATCTGCATACCTTGGGTGAAAAGAACGGGAAACATTGGCGTCGAAAGAAAGTTGAACTTACGCTCCGAAATATTAATGACCCTGAAAAATCCATAAATCTCGAAGTCATTGAAGTCATAAGAAATACCTATATACGGATACCAGATGTAGAAATGAAATCCAAACTCCAAGCATTCGGCGTCACTTTGACAGACTGCGGCGGCGCCGATGGAATGAATCATATTTCCGTTTTAATCGGCGCGGACATTATGTGGAAAATAGCAAGCGAAGGAATAAAAAGTATAAACAGAAATGCTGTAGCGATGAAAACCTTGTTTGGGTGGTGTATACAAGGCAAATTTTCTTCATCAGACTTTCAAATCCATGATGCGTGTTTGAACGTAAGTGTAGAAGAGAAACTTCTAAAAAGCGTCCAATCGTTTTGGGATATTGAATCTATAGGAATTAAAAATATTTTTGACGAAGAACAAAATGAAATGGCCTTGGAAATATTTAACAACTCGATTACACAAAAGGGTGATAGATACGAAGTTAGACTTCCATGGAAAGATCAGAATGTGACTTTAAGAGACAATTTTAAGAATGCTGAAAGACGATTTTCAAAGCTGATCGAACAATTTTAAATCAAACTTGAACTTTTATGCGCAATATAAAGAAGTGATTGACTATCAGCTTAAGGAAGAAATCATAGAAAAGGTCGATCTTGGTACTCCATCTGGGAGACGAACTTACTACATACCTCACTGTGTTGTCATCCATGAAGATCATAATTCTACGAAACTTCGCATTGTTTATGATGCTTCTTCAAAGGAAAAAAATCATGAGTCTCTAAAATGATAATTTATTACAAGGACCAAATCTTCTTCCTGAACTTTTGAAAGTTTTAATAAATTTTCGACTTCATCGAATTGCATTTACGTCAGATATTGAGAAAGTGTTTTTGCAAATTTCTGTTGCACCTGAAGATCGGGATTCAATGCGAATTTTGTGGATTGATGATAATTCAAGTTTGACCAATCCGAGAATTCAAGTTTATCGGATGTGTCGTGTAATTTTTGGAGCAAAATCAAGTCCATTTTTGCTGAGCGTTTGCATTAAGCATCATATAAAGAAATTTGAAGACATCCATCCCAAACTGTAGAAATGTTAGAAAACTTCATGTATGTTGACGATTTTATTTGTGGATCAGATACGGAGGAGGAAGCTATACAGATATATCATGAAGCCAATGATATAATGAAAAAGGCATCAATGACTTTGACCAAATGGAATTCTAATTCGGATACTGTAAAAAACCAGTATAAATCAAGTGACAACTTCATTAGCTTCAAATTGCCCTGACTGTGATTCCGCTCAAAGATTCTTGGACTTCAATGGGATAAATTAAGGATATGTTCTATTTTAATGCACAAGACGTTATTGATTTCATCCAGTCAAATGACCAAACAAAACGTTGTGTTTTAAAAGCTGCTTCAAAAATCTTCGATCCTATTAGGTTTCGTGCTCCATATGTTATTCAAGCAAAAGTTCTGTTTCAGGATTTATGGCTGAAAGGTGTTGATTGGGATGAAATTATACCACCAGAATTGCAGGACAAGTGGAACAAATGGTATAGGCAACTATGTGATCTACCTCATATCCAGATACATCGGTGGTATTTTCGTGATGTTGATGAAAAGTTTGAAACACTGGAAGTACATTGTTTTTGTGATTCATCTCAAAGTGCTTACGGAGCAGCAGTGTACGTGAAATTCCGTAGCTTAAAATATTGTGAACAAGTTTAGTGATAGCCAAGAGCAGAGTGGCTCCCCTGAAAAAATTATCTTTACCAAGACTCGAGCTTATGGCAGCAGTGTTAGGTGCAAGACTTGTAACTACAGTCCGTGTGAATTTTCCTCAAGCTAAGATTCATTTATGGACAGATTCTCTTATTGTGCTTCATTGGATAAAAAACTCACCACGGCAATGGAAAACATTCGTACAAAATCGAGTGTCTGAAATTCAAGACAAAACATCTCCGAGCATGTGGCATCATCGTCCTGGCTCAGATAATCCGGCCGATAAAATTACACGCGGTGTTAAATTAAGTGATCTTGTAGTAGATCAAGTGTGGTGGCATGGACCTCCATGGTTTCATCAAGATGAAATAAATTGGCCTAAAGTGAACAAGCATTGTAACATAGTAGATAGTGTTGAAGAAAGAGTTGTGACTCAAGTTACTAGCAGTGTTCAACCTTTACAACCTGTGTTAAAAATAGAAAACTATAGTGACTTAGGTAAACCTTTAAGAGTCACGTCATATGTATTTAGATTCATTAATAATTTAAAGTCACAGAATAGAGTGATTCCTGTGACCAAAAATGAAATATGTAAGGCTATGTGTTATTGTTTTATCTTATCACGAGGTATTTTTTTGAAGAGCTGAATGATGTTAAATGTAAAAAACCATTGTCTCGTAATTCCAAATTGTTTGGGTTAAATCCAGTAATGGATGAAAAGGGTTGTTTAAGAGTTGGAAGTAGATTAGTGAAATCATCATTAGATGTCGATGAAATTCAGCCTATAATATTACCAAATAATTATTTTTCTCGTTTAATTATTTTGAATTGTCATGAAAAGGTACTTCATAGTGGTGTAAATGAAACTTTAGTGCAAGTAAGAGGGAAATTTTGGATTTTAAAAGCTAGACGTTTTGTAAAATCTGTGTTACATGATTGTAGATTTTGTAAAAAACATAATTCTAAAGCTGGACACGAGATATCGGCTCCTCCTCCAGCTGACCGAGTGGAGAAAGCTCAACCATTTGAGGTAAGTGGCATAGATTTCGCTGGCCCTTTGTATTTAAAGGATGGTACAAAAGTGTATATTTCATTGTTTACCTGTGCAGTGACTCGAGGAGTCCATTTAGAATTGTTATCAAATTTAAGTGCAGTGTTTCATTCAAGCCTTACGTAGATTTTTTGCACGTAGGCGTATTTGTAGAGTTATATATTCTGATAATGCTAAAACCTTTAAAACTGCTGATCGTGAATAAAATATTTGTATAAATTATAAAGATGAAAAGGTTCTAAATTTCCTTGGTAAAAATGGGGTTTTGAGTGGAAATTTATTGTAGAAGGTGCTTCCTTGGTGGGGCGGATTCTGGGAACGTTTTGGCAAGATCTGGTAAAAAACTTGTTTAAAAACGTATCTTAGGTAAAGCTTCTTTATATATGAAGAACTGTATACTGTTTTAGTTTGAAGTTGAAGCTGTTATTAATTCTAGACCTATAACGTATGTATACAATGAACCAGATCCTCTTTCACCATTTCATTTTATAACTGGATCTAGATTGACTGTTTTACCTTCACCTGAATCTAAACTAGAATCTACAAGATCTCAGTTGATTAAAAGATGGAAGCATAGGCAATTAATATTAGAGCATTTTTGGAAAAGGTTTTATAAAGAATATTTGTTAGAATTAAGGGGTTTTCATCCGCAGAGAACCCGTTGGCGCCGTTGCAAAAGATCAGTCATGTTTTCAAAAACTCCAAAGAATTCTCCCGTGTTTAAAATTAATGATGTTGTACTTGTACGAGAAGATAGGTAGGATTAAGGAATTATTTCACGGAAGAGATGATAGAGATTAGAATTAGATCTTGCGAGATTCAGTTAGATAAGGGTGTTGTTAGAAGACCAATTTAAAGACTTTATAATCTTGGAGTTCAATAAAATTTATGCATCCGTTATGGATGCATGAGGGGGAGTGTTAAGTTTAGGATTGTGTATCCATAGATCGCCAATAGATGGCGGTAGTGTTTGTTTGTAAAAAGAAACTGTGATGTCAATTATGTATATGTATCAGTTTGTCTTTGGTGTTCGTGAATAAATGTTGTGTGGAAGAATGCTCCTCTGTTTATTACTTTAACTGCGATCCAGTCTGTTTATTAGAGATTTACACATATTTTGTTTAATAGCCATGAAGTATTTGGAGATAACCCCTATTTCAGTTTACAGAATAGCAGAAAAGGTAGGCTTGTAATTTTCACCTTATGAGTCTGTTTTGTTAAAAAACACAGATGTATTTTTTCACCTTGGGTAGACAGCTTTGAAGGAGTGGCCATAATTAATTAATCAATTAACTGAATGGAATTTAAAGAAAAAGATACATATGGGAAACAGGCAATCATTATAGGTTTTAAATTGGTAAATCTCCTGACAATAAATGTTGACGAAATTGTAGAATACATATACTGAGGCCAAAAATGAAACTGTATTACTTTTACGAGTTCACAATCGTTATGTTATAAGTACCTTACAGTTTTCCAACTGAAAGGAAACATTCATCATAAATTATTTTCAGGGAATTTATGACTTAGAATTTTTGCAAAAGTAACAAAATACACTTGATGATTTTAACATTTTTAATTATTTTAGAAGACAATACTTACAAAATACTGTATTTGCAAACATTCTATTCACAGTCAAAATGAATTAAATACATCAAAAACACTTCATAACACTGATTTACATCACAGCAATTACTTCATGGCAGTATTTAAAGATCAAGTCCCCCTTAACATCCAACATATAAGCCATGGAAAAAAAAAAAAAATCATAATTTCAAATAACTACTCTACACTACCTCAGTATTTTAAAATGACTTAACTAAGGTTAGGTATCCTCTTGGATAAATTACGCATAACAAAAGAATTCAATCCAACTACAAAATCAAACCAAATGAAACATCAAATAGTTCACATCTTTTATCAATGACTGTACAAAAAAAAAAAAAAAAAAAAAAAGATATTTACAATAAAATACAATGAATAGTTTCTGCCAAGAAAAATAAAATGATTTCAAGTTTATGGTCTTTTGTTTTCCACTGCCCACATAATGCTTAAATATAATGAATACAACTTTTAATATTTTGTACAGCAACAAATTTAAAATATAAATTAAGCTAAGCCATTCACAGGTAAATTCCACACACTGAATGATATGACAAATATTTACAATGCTTAATGAAAATAATATCTGAATAATTAATTTTTTCCCCTTGGTAGACTTATTACAATATTTGAAGTACTATTTGAAAGTTGTTAAAATATATAATTTTTTACACATTATGTTAAAATATCACACATATTACATATATTTATTCACAGTTAGTTATAGCTCAACAATACTTCCACTACACATTTTATAATTTTTAATTAACTATTTTCAGAATAAATTTTTTAAAGTAACAGAAACTACATATTTACAGTTTCACACATCAGGGAATGCCACCGAAGAAGGATTCACATTACAGTGCTATGGCACATATTTTTTATGATATAATCATCAACATATTCACATGTTTACTATATTTAGATGTATAAAATTACAAGATATTAAGCATAAAGAAAACAGGTAATGAAAGATAAACAAATATTTCTTCTAAGCTACTAGAAAAAGCTAATACTTCTCTTTCAACTCCTTGAAGTGATATTATTTACATGTAGCACAAATAAGCTATGCAGACTGAATCAAATCACACAGCAGGAGTATAATTAGAGACAGCTTTGCTATGATAACATAAACTAAAATATGCACTGTATATTAGAAGGAATTATTGTAAATAACTCACCTGTTCTCATCTGTTTGTCTTTTCGTATCATCCACATGTGCAAGAATTAAAAAATTACATTCCCCCAATTATCAAATTATTTTGATTATTCAACCCTGAATAATTTCTGGAAAAATAAAATGTAACACAGTGTGTGAAAGTCAAATAAAACAATAAAATTGAGTATGAAAGGTGTATTGTAATTCAAGAAAAAATATACGGAAAATTTTTTTGGCTCTTTAGGTTTTTACTCGTAATTACTTTTTTGCTTAAGATGCGATATATTTCTAGACTTTATACATTCTTTTTAGTTGTTTTTATTGCGCATTTCAATTAGTGAAACACACTTGAGCTGATTACTCTATGAATTGATTAGTGTTTTACAAAATTTTCTGTAAACACATTAAAATTTTTATCAAAAACCTGAGTAAGTACAGGGGGAATATAGATTATTTCATAGCTAATTAGGTTCTTTATTAATAATTGCAGTTACAATTTATTCTAAAGTAGGCTAGAAGGACAGAAATGCTTAATTGGAGCTTCTTAATTACTGTATGATGCAATGAAAAAAGGTTAATGCCTGCGATAACAGGATAATTTCATTTAATCAAGAATAATTGATTATATTTTTCCCTCCGCCAATGGTTGTGCTTGCCTATAACGATCTTGGCCACTATTAAGGCCAGAAGTGGTGGCAATTTTATTGTGGAGGCACCTAAATAGGCCACCAATATTATCTCCTATGAAGGGACAGACAATTTTACTCCAGGACTCGAACTCGTACACTTCGGTGTCGCAGGCTCCTCTAACGACTATACGATCTGAGCGGCATATTTAATTTTATAAATTAAATTATTTTCAGTTTTTAATTATAACTTTCTTCACACATATACTATTTTTTTCCAAACATTACAATAGACCTCTTACACTCAATTTTACACTTTATTTTTCCAGAAATTAAATCAGGTTGAATAATCAAAATAATTTGAAACTGTACTTACTATAAATCTCTCTTAAACTGCTTCACTTTAAAATTGGTTACTGCTACATGATTTTCATATAATGCAAATAGTTACATAAAGCTTTAATTAATAATAATTTATAGAAGAGATTATTTGTGGCCAAATGATTAAGGCAATGGATTTGAAATCCATTTCCCCACACAGGCTTGAATCCTGTCCATTCATTTAAATGATTTGGAATCTCGAAGTCATGCAGATGCATAAAGAAGCTTGCACTCATGATGAATTTAAATATTTCTTTTAACTCTTGTTGGCAAACATACCATACATATAAACTGACACATTAAATGCTTGTTCTTGAAAAGCTACATCAAATATATTCAAAAAATTTGGAAATGGTACATCAATTTTCAAGACAGATACTAGCTAGCTTTTTCAATTGTTTATGACAAAATGAGGAAAATATGCACAACCAACAGCACAGCTATAAAACTGTATGCAAAAGCACAATTTACAGTAGTATAGTCTTCCCTTTCCTCCCTCTCCTCTCAAAGCTCTCATATATAAATATATACACTTTAAGATAATAATATGCCAACTTCATTTAAAAATTTATTTGACTAGTTATACTTTATGCATTCACTAAAATACTTTTTACGGACTTGACCTTTGCTTTAGATGTTAACATGAATACCACACTGTTTCTCTTAGAAAGTTCTCCTCGAAAGCATTTTTTGCCTTGGCAGGTATAAACAATCTGTCTTTTCAGATGAGAACACCGGTGCATTTATTAAATTTTATCACTTGGCAATTTAAAAAAAATAATAAAAGTAATTATACAACAGAAAGATAATTCTGTGGCAAATTATACATCCATATTTCACCAAATTTGTATTTCTGTTGTACTGTGACATTTTACAGTATCAATACATTTTTTAATGCACTTACATTTAAACATCAGCAATAAAAAAAATTTGATTAAAAAAATATTACTACCAACAAAACTAAAATATTCACAAATTTTTTCAACTATGAGTATACAGATATAAGCTGCACACTACTTATTGGAACTATCAGAAAATTTTCAAAATAATGAAAAAAATTAATCTATATTATGTTAAAAAGAATTAAACACAGCACATTTACTGCAACTTTAAATCCAATTGTCAACATCAAGGTACATCAAAATTCCACCTTTTAACAGTAAGATGCAGAAATTACATGCAAACGTAATTTTGATGTTAAATCTGGTATTCAGAATTTTGAATCACATTTCAAAAGTTCTGCAGGGCTAATAACAACAAATCAACAATCCTGCACTTGCGAGACAGAAACATGCCATGGTTAATAAAGATAAGATTGTGATAATCCTGAAATACAAAATTAATAAACTAAAAAAAAAAAAAATAAAGTAAAAATTAAGTTTAGTAAAAATACAAAGTTATGCACAATATTAATACAGTATTTTCATATTACTATTGAGAGCTAAATTGTTTGAATTCCATGGTCCATTTTTTATTCATTTTGAATTAAATAAAAGTGTATCATAAAATAGGAACATGCAGTACCAAATAAAAGGATTCTATTTTAAAAGATGTAACAGTCATGCACAAATAAGCTCATGGTTAATCACATGTGTTGACTAATTCTTAAATGTGATCAATGCTTCAAGTTTTTAAGCATACACTTTTAGGCTTATTAAGGTCTGAAAAATCTTACCCTACAGATATAGGTTGATAAATTACTGTATCACACTAAGTTCATTTTACACTTACTTCTAATGTTATAAAGAAACCAATGAATTGCAATTTCCAATTAAAAGTTTTAAAAAATGTGATATATTTCATTTCCATAATAATGGAAATTTCCATAATCATTTCCATAATCCTTTCTGATGATTAAATGCATGCTAATATAGTATTTGGCAATTGGATATTTTAGGCACGCTATATTCTTGAACATTAAAAACGAATAAACTAAAAATTCTTTACTCTTCAATTAAGATAGTTTACTTTTAATACCTAAATGAAACTCAAAAGGCTTTTAAAATGTTTTCTACATAAATTAATATTTAAAAATGGTTATTTGCTTATTTTTCTTTCATATTCATTATTAAATGAGGCTACTGTATTTTATTTTGATCTACTTCTATTCTACACAGAATTATTATTATTACTTTCACCATGTTTAAAAACTTCTATGAACATATATTTATTTTAACAATTAAAATGTAACTCTTAATTTCACAAAGAAATCATTTCCAGCTGGAAAGAATTCAGATAGCCAAGACCCCCCCTTTACCCCACAAAATTTTATCAGACCACAAAACATTATCACATTGATGTTTAAATGCAGTTCAAATGGCACCATCAAAATGGAAATGAATTAGTGGATGAACATTGGCTGAGCAAAATAGTTACAAATTTTAAACACATATTTTCAATGCTTTGGTTCACTCTCGGGGCTTGATGAAAAGCTTGGTGTTGATCGACCAGCTGGTGAACCAGGAGAATTCAAGACAGCGTGTAAACCGGAAACTAGGACATTATGACCAACAGTAAAGTCTTCTGTGAGAGTTTTCATGACACTCATTGTGACTGCAGCCTAAAAGGAATTGACAAGGATTAACATAAATATATTTAAATTAAAATTTTCATAATCAGATGTGACAATAATGCAGTAGTTTGCAACCTTTCTGATTTAAAAACTCCTTTTAGAATCAATTTTCACAGTGCAGCCCCCTAAGTCTACCCCATATCTTACAATAGTGTTTAAGAAGAGTGAATGAGAAGTGGGTAATGCATGAAATTATATTTTTAAAACTTTAAAATTTACCACAGTATATTAATTTATTTTCAGGAACCACAATGTACAAGGTATTGTCAAAACTTTACCATACATAAAATTTCTTCCAAAGTTCAATAAATCAAACCAAATATCTTAAAACATATTCTGTATTATAACTGAGAGCAACAACAAAAAATGATTCATGCAATTAACTCATTTTGTCCAATTTAATCATTACACCTATTTCAATTGAAATATATATTTTGGTAAAATCCTAGGAGAGCCCACACCCTTGGCGACAAACTGGGAAAGTGTGCACTGCTTCACGCGTTTCTCGAAATCGCCAACTTGAAAATAACAAGAATTACACAAACTCGGTATCCATGTACATATCATCCTATTTTCACTTAAAAAAACATCAGAGAATTGCACAAACTTAGCACTGCACACTCCCTTGACTTTCTGCATGTACACATAGATTCGTGCCATCACCAAAATCATTTACGCCAAGGGTGTGGGCTCTGTTAGGATCCAACCATATATTTTCTCATTAGTATTAAAAATAATTGTTATTCCTTATGGATGAGATTTTCAATTAAATCACACTAATTAAAGTGCAGTTTTAATTTATTTAGCTAAAAAGGGCTATTAGTCTTGAGATGTGATTTTGAGTTGATTCACTTTTCAAGTCTGTTGCAATTCAGAAAAATATAAGATATTACTCTTTTATACTTACTTAATCCGTGTTATTAATTAACAAAAGCAACAGACACAGTTCTTGAGCACTTTTTTTTTTTTTTTTTTTTTTACTTTTTTAGTCCAACTGATTTCAGTAAAAATGCATTTAATTCCCGATATATCTGATGCAAAATATTAAATTTTTATAGAATTACATATTCTTTTTAATTTTTAAATATACAGAAGACATATAAAATTTCCATATAAGTGTAAATACATATTCATCTTAATAACCTATAAAATGTTTCACTAATCCACTTGGGTATCCCTATAGATAATTTCTACTTGTACTATCGATAATTTCTATATCTATCGATTGAAATTATATAGAAATATAGACTATAAATATATTTATAGTATAAATTAGTATAAATATAGAATTATTTAATAGTAGAAATATAGATAAATTTCTATGTTTACATGATAATTTCTACCATATTAAACTTTAAAATGACCCTTTTAGGAGACTAAAATATCTGAAGGGTTTCAGATTTTAACAAAGTCTTCTTTCAGCAGCAGCAGAGCTCCTGGGAAAGACCACACACAGGCTCTATGATGCAATGCCTGAGAACTATTTTGTCTATTTGTTTTGATTTGATTCTCAAAAAGGAATACAGGGAAAATACTGACCTATGAATCTCATTTAAGCATTATTTTTTATGGATCTTGTGACAACAAAGAGTAAAATAGTTTTACAGAGCATATTTAAAAACATTCATTAAAAAGCTGCCTGCAGTTGTATGCATGTGCTTCTTTGCCCACTCTGAAGAAAATAATAAAAAGTTGTATAGATATGTATGTAAGGGCTTTCAGATTTTAACAGTCTTTTTTCCAGCAGCAGCAAAGCTCCTGGAAAGGACCACACACAGGCTCTATGATGCAATGTCTGGGAACTATTTCGTCTATTTGTTTTGATTTGATTTTCAATAAAGAATACAGGGAAAATACTGACCTATGAATCTCATTTAAGCATTATTATTTTTTATGGATCTTGTGACAACAAAGAGTAAAATCATTTTAGAGAGCATATTTAAAAACATTCATTAAAAAGCTGCCTGCTGTTGAGTGCATGTGCTTCTTTGCCCATTCTGATGAAAATAATCAGAAGTCATATAGATATGTATGTAAGGGCTTTGAATTTGCATGAACATTTAATTACATGTACTTTCATTTGTCTCAATTCATGCTGAAATCTTAGGATAAAAAATATGAAATTGCACGAGCTTACACAATATTTTGCAGATACCAGTATCATATTAAAATTGCTTTCATTAATGAAAATCTGTTTTATTCTTTACAGTTATTTTACATGCAAAACAAATTCCTTAAACAAAGTGTGTTTATTAGCTTTTATTCACACCAGCAATATATAGCAATAAACCAGCATACGTTGAAACTTGATTTAAAATGCAATTTTTTAATAAAATACATTTACCAAATAAATCCGAAACAAAATATACTTGTGTAAAGATAGAATCCCCTTAAAATTCTAACAAAAAAAGAACACTAACACTTTTAAAAACGTTTGGCAACATAAATACATTGAATAAATCCCCATCAATTCAGAAGCTTTAATCTTCCATTTCATATTTGTGTCATATATTGACTACTAAGAATTTTTTCAGCTGTCAAAATTTATATTTAAAATGTACCACTTAAATGTATGAACTTATAATACCTACTGACTAAATTATTACACTGGGCTGTACAATACTGTATCCAAACTATAAGTGTGCTTTTATATTTTTCTAAAAACTGTAAATTTTTAAAAATTAAAACATTAAGATGGATAGCTGAAGGGTTTTGGGATATTGCTAGGGCTAATCTTACAGCTATGCAACTATATTTACAAAATAAAAATATTCTAAGTAACAAAATGGTCTACATTGCAGAAACTGAAACATTGGAACTGCTTTATTTCTATTATTCATCAAACATACAACACAATGACAGAGAGACTGCAAGTTCATTCTAACACATGAAATTCACAAATTATTTTTAACAAATCTAGATGTCTTTCAATAGCAAAAAACTCAGATTACCAAAGTAAAACTCAACAAAAGATTCAGTACTTTCATACGACAAAGGCATTTGGATGACCTTTTTTTCAGGCATTTTTTAATTTCCATTTGCTAAAGGTCAATATGAAAATTTAACTTTTAATTTATGACACTTTTTATTTTTGAAAGTTATTTTATTTTTGAAAGACACTTTTTATTTTACACATACACCAACATCTACATTAAATTCAATTCATAAAGAGATAACATAAAAAACGTTTAAGAAACACAAAAGTATCTAATAGTGGAAATTTCCCTTTCGCTGCACTATTAATTAAAAGTATCCAATTAAAATAAATTCGAGCAATAAAAAATAAGAAAAGTTTTTCAGTCATCTGCCTATTATATCACAGGATTACAAATTTTGGGCCATTTATATAAAATTATCCCATTTTTTCCATGTAAATTTAAATAATTCAATAGCACAAAATAATTCAAATTAACAAAACTATTCTACCGTAATTAAGTTACATTCTTTAATCTAAATTCTGAGAGTTCTACAAATCAATAATTTATACACATATAATATTACATTTGAGCTTAAATTTAGGAATGAAAAATAAAGAGCAATGGAATGAAGGGAGCTTCATTAAACACGCCTCATATTTTGAAATCTTAACACAAAATTAAATATTTTTAACTCAGCAGGTTAATATAAAATATTTTAAACTTTTAAACTGTCAAATGTAATTACCATAAAGTTCATTAAAATAAATACATCTACTACCTTTCCTACATCTTAATTTTAAAATACAATAGAAATTATAATCTTTTTGCTCTCGAAATTTTCAACCTTTAAGAAAGTTGGTCTTTGAAAACTACTGAACTATAAGGGTTTGTTTAAATAACCTTTGTTTATGCAATAATACCTTTATTTGGAAACAAACGTTTACGTGCTACTTGGACACGAAGAGAAACATACCTGATCACTCCAGCCATGACCGTACTTCCACTCCGTAACATAATGTTCACTGTTCCTCGTCAACATATTAAAATCGACTTCTTTATCTAAATAGCTGTATGAATTGTGTATAACATCTTCAACCGGAAGTGCTTCGAGTCCTCTTTCTTTAGCACCAACGCTTTTGTTATTAACTCTCACACCGCTTAGTCCAGCAACGTCAACTAAGCTGGACAGTCGGACAACAGCTGTATCGGAAGGTATTTCATTATTGTCTAAATCCACTCCAGATATATGCACCACATTTCCATTTCCGACGTACAAAGCCCAGTCGGTATACAAAACACGATCAATCTGGATTAGATCTCCAACATCCGGCTGCAAATCATACGATGATATAAATGAACCCAGTCCAAAGCAGTCTGACCTCAGGAATAATTTTTCAGGTGAGCTACTGCATGGAGAATGGTACATAGTCGATTTGTTCATTGGTAGAATCGTGTTCATCTGGGCCAATGTTTCATGCATCTCATTCAAGTAATTTCTGTACTTCAAAAACGAATGCAATTCAATAATTCAAGATCAATAACAGGTGACAATTTTATGACGCTTACAGTCAGGTAGCAACAGCACATATGATGCAGACAGACCACCACCGGGGATTAAACCGCTCGCATTACGCATGCGTTGTTCATTTCAAGGTAGCGGAAAGTGCGCATGCGCATTTGATACAGAAATCCAGAAGGGACTGTTTAATAACTGAGAATACTAATTGGAAAATCGCAAGATAACCGTAATCATTTTGTGTCCCTTTTTTTGAATTGGAGCCACTTTTATAAATAAGAATGCTCGGTAGACCACCATATTCTTGAAAGAAATTCTTTTTAGTATAAGTTACTACCACTATACATATATTTTGAAAATACAATTAATTGAAATCCATGTAATATAACATGATGTACCCAATGTGTTTATTAGCATTCTTAATTTTGTATTTTACTCATTTATTGTACTGTGTATTTCTTAAATTCTCTAGTTTTATTCACATTCTACACTCATTTTATGACTCCCACTTAGTCACGCCTTTACCGGGCCGGTTACTTGCTTGTGAGCTCTTGCGTTGCTGGTTCTTCTATTCTTTATCCGTCTTTTCTCTCCTTACTGCGGACATTATGTGAAGATAGTTCTATGTTATTGTGCCCATCCGGCATAAATTTGATTGAGCCAGATAAACTACTGATCTCAGTGGTATTCTGGCTATAAGTTATCAGTCAGTCAGTCAGTAATTAAAAGGTAGCAGAAGAAAGACTAATTGTTCATATAAAATGTAAAGTAATTAAAAGGTAGCAGGAGAAAGATTATATTTGTTGTTTAATAATTCAGGGCTATCAGAGTTTGGGTAATCTTTACCCTATTAACTTGTGTAGTTAAGATATACTTGTAAAACAGAATCCCATAAAATCCTAACAATTATGAACACTTTTAAAAGTGTATGGGTAAAGCTGTTATAACTGGAGAATCGAAAAATTTTAACATCCTTTGTTAAGCTATACTCTAGGTTGGTTTTCTACACTTTTTACGAAACTTTGGGGATTAATGGGTCTCAGAGTATTTATGCATTTGCTTGTTGCATTTCTTAAAACTGGATCCCCCCCATAAATCTAATGCTAAATTTAATCTTTTACTAGTATAAAAATAAACCTACATTATTAATTCAAAAACTACATATTATGATTGTGTTAAAAGAAATGATTTTAAATTTAAAATGACTTACTTCTTTTCATATGCTGTATTATGTTTACTTATTAATTATCATTAATATTAATTATAATTAATTAATACTATTATTAGTTATTAATTTAACAAGCATTCTCTTTACTATATATTTTGAAACAATTAGTTATTAATTATTATGTTTAATTATCAACTTTTTCTTCTCTTGCCATTAGTTTAAATTTAAAATTTTAATTAAAGGATTTATTGCATTAATTACTATTAATGTTCATGAAATAGGTTTTGATTTCATTGTTTGCCAGTTAAAGATTTTGCTTGCATGTTTTCTGTTCGGAATCCTGTGCATATTATCTTTAACATAAATCCCGGTTGCAACTGCAAAAATAAGAGTAAGATAATAAAAAACGTTTTTATAAAAGAAGCTTTTATTAAAAAAAATAATGAACTACAAATAGAAAGGTTATTTATTATAAATTTCAGTGAGAATAAGAGATTAATAATTATCTTTACAAAATTTATCTGCAATTTTATATCTCGAATAATAAAAGCGTGGGCCTTCCTTGGTAAATTTAGAGTTTTATCAACCTAATGGTTTATATTTCTGAAAATCGATTATTAGATTTTGCTATTTAGGTGCTCACGCTTTTGTTCGTGATATAACACTGTCGATGAATTTAGTAAAGATAATTGTTTGTCTGCTGTTCCCATTGAATTACATGATAAATTAATTTTTTCTTTTTAGTTCATTAAAGATTTTGTGAGCTTTAAATAACAGCTTATTTTATAAAAACTTCTTTTAACATTTTCTATTTTCATCTTTTTAGTCTAAAGGAAGTTTTATCAACCAAATTATTCAACTGAAAAATTGTTTTTCAACGATGAATAATTAGTGTTTTATTTCTAACAATTCGGTTATGTCAGGTGGCGATTTTGGGGAAAAAAAAATTCAGAAATTATGTTAAAAATCTCGTTAAAAGAAAGTATGTGCAAAAATTCGTTTGAACATTAAATAAAAAACCTTTAAAAAAGTCAAACTTAAAAAAAAAAAATCGTTTCGCTACATTGTACTGTCAGTCATTAACAACGTGTGTACAATAAATGTCAGCTCGATAGTTTTTAGGGAAGTAGTTTAAAATTCTATGAAAACTTTTTGGTCCTAGAGAAAAACATCATGCCTGACCTAAATTTAAAAAAATAAATAAAATAAAATAAAAATAAAAGTCTGAAAGCTTTCAGATTTTATATTATATCCAAAGGGCCGTTTTTTTCACTTACACACACATACAAGTTTCGAAAGCATTTGAGCTAAACATATAACAGCATGTGTTTAGAATATTCGATAGACAGTCTAGCGCGCTGGAGATAAAAATTTTTTATTCCGTACAGTGTTCCTGCTGCTCGCTTTGAAGTCGTTGAGTTTTTTTTTAATCTCAATATCAAAAATCAAATTTTCAATAAATTTAAAATTTTGCTTGCTAAGCATTTTTTAAAACACACAAACAATAATAATAATATCACAAAGGGAAAAAAAATTCAAACTTATATTTATTTTATATCTGAAATCTAAAATTTGGTACCTCCAAGATATTTTTCCTGCTTACACTTCGTAATTCAAATATATGGTGTAATGACCTTACGGATTAATAAGGCACCATAAGGAAAACGAAACAAACATTTATTAAAAATTAACTTTCAAAGAATAATGGAAAAAAAAATTAACATTTAAAGAATAAAGGCAAACTCGGAGCACTACCTCGCTCCTACAACATAATTAACCTACAACCTGCCTCCTCTGAGGCTAACATGCAACTCGCCTCTCTCACTTGCTGGGCCTCTGCCAGGCAGCTGATTGGCTCACCGCTGCCAGATACATGACACCCACCCGGTAAGATTGTGCTACGCCAAAGCGAAGGAGAATCTGTAAACTGAACCAGCAAATACAATCTTAAATTGTATACTCCGCATACCAAATTAATTCAAAATATATGAACATGTATACATGACATAATAACATACTTTGAAATAAAGGCAATAAACATTCATCTCACAACAGATGAACAGATGGCTTGATACAATACCGGAGTTCTGTGATAAAACATATATGCAATACTATTTCAAAACACACTATTATAATGCAATACTATTTCAAAACACACTATTATAATGCAATATTAAATGGAAACCAGTAATTTGATTTTCAAAACAGATGGAAAGTAGCTCTCGTACAATTCCGGAACAAAAGAAAGTAACTAATGCAAAGTTTTAAAACATATTAGTTCATACTTAGTTCACACCTATTTCATTCACCCACTAGTCTTGAAAAGACCATCTGCATTTTTAATTGTGCACCAGGGCAGTGAGGAATATGAATATTATAACGCTGAAGTGCCATTGCCCACCTCTGTAATTTGGCTGAATGCGAGGTGCCGACTTATACAAATAATAATAATGGATTATGGTCTGTGATCAGCTCGATTTTATTCGGATCCAAACACCCAATACTCGAACTTTTTAATGACCACACAACGGCATAAGCCTCGCGTTCAATAGTTGACCAAGTTCTGCTTGAGTCTTTCGAAAGTTTTTGACTGGCAAAGCTGATAGGATGCAAACTGCCTTTCGCTGTCTCGTTGTGACAAGCAAGCACCAACACCATATGAACTAGCATCCACACTGTATGGTGTAAGGTTTTTCTGGTTCTGGAGTGTACAGTTTTGGTGCTTCACACAGTCGACGTTTCAGTCCTTGAAATGCTGATTCCTCAACATCAGTCCATGGAATTCTCTCAGGAATTTTCTTTTTCGTAAGCTCCGTCAATGGGCGAGCTATTTCTGCATAATTCTTTATGTAATCACGATAACAGTTGAATAAGCCTAATGCACTCTTTAGAGCAGTCTTTGTTTTAGGACTTTTTATAATTTCAATGGCTTGTAATTTTTCAGGATCAGGTTGATGTCTTCCAGCTCCTATTATATGTCCTAAATACTTTATCTCCGAACGTGCAAAAACACATTTCTTCACGTTCACCGTAAACCTGAGATCACTTAATGTAGTTAGCACAGCATCTAAATGTTTGAGATGCGAATTCCAATCTGCTGAAAAGATAGCAATATCATCAATATATGCTTTGCAAAAATCACTATGTTTTCTTAAGGCATCATTCATCACTCGCTGAAAAATAGAAGCTGCATTTTTTAATCCAAAAGGCATCACTTTCCAACGATATTGGGAACGATGTGTCTTGAATGATGTTAAATCACGACTTTCTTCTTCTAAAGGTATTTCCCAGTAACCTTTAAAGACATCTAAACAGGTGATAACATTCGCGTGTCCAATTTTATTGATTAGATCAGTCACATTCTCCATTGGAAAATCAACAGGTTTGGTTACTTGATTCAACAACCTGAAATCAATACATAAACGCATACTTCCGTCTTTCTTGGCAACACATACGACCGGGTATGCTATTTCAGCTTCACTTGGCTCAATAAGACCCAAGCTCTCCAATTCCTCGATCTGTTTATCTACTTCAGGTTTCAAAGATTCTGGGATCTTATAGATATATGGCTTTTTTTCTTTCAGCTCCAGGTAACACCGACCGAATTCTATGTTCACCCAACTCTGACTATTTGGATCTCCCCAGAAAATACGCGATGTGCTTGAGTAAGAGCGCGTCGTGTAATTCCTTTTGTTTGCTATCCTCTAAATGACTAATATCCACCTCGATGTCCCTTCTAGTTACTGCGCAATCTCCTTTATTTGGAGTGGTATGAATTTCCCCCCAAACTCAGAATCATCTTCAAATATCACTCCCACAGTTTGTGCTCGAACATAAAATTTTCTTATTCTATTCACATGAACATGCCTCACACTCCCCATCGGGTAATTTAACTTTGTAAGAATGAGG